ACATTTCTCCACCTGCAAGTTTCAAGTGATACTCAGAGTAATCTGTACATAAGTTACTACCCAAGTCCTTTTCCAGAATGGGAACCAACATTCCTGAAGGAAACTGTGGCTTCACTGATTCCACACCAGTGGTTTAGCAAATCAGATACTGAGAATTCAGAGCAAAGGAAAAATATTTTTGTGGCCTACCTGTATTAGGTCAATCTTTTAACTGCCCAAAGGATTTCTGAATCCTATTCGTTGAAGCAAGGCTGAAATATATCCATTAAAAAGCTTAATTATATTTTACTGGGCTTGAGTTTTCCCAGGCTATATGTTATGTGTATGTGTGCTTCCTAACTTGCCAGACAGAATGCTGGGATTGCATTTGGTTCAGTTATAAACACTTAACTCAGGTCACCTAATTCTGTATTGCTAGCTCCCAAGCATGGATCTGTATTGATAAATATGTTAGATATTAACCACAAGGTAGATATTTTTCCTTCTCTAAATCAAAGCTTTCAAAACAATGTCATGTTTGTTGTGATCAGTATGTTTTCTAGATCTTGAGTACAGTTAAGTTTTACCACTGGTGCCAGGTAGATTCCAGAAGCTTGTCTTGCATTTGATAGCTACAATGTCAACACCATTCACATTCATGCAGCCTAATCCTATTCATATTTACTCAGAATTAAGGCCCACCACTTTAAATAGCACTTATTTTCAGGGAAGTGCACTCCCTTACAGTGCTGCAGCAGTTAAGTCTTGCATTGAAGTCTTCAGTTGTATAATTCTGGAAGAAATGCAAGAAATAATAATTATTATTTCAAGGATGCTTATGGGTCATTCTTACCAGCCTGCCTAGTCACTGAGGTGACTGGATGGCTTGTCCCTGGTGGCCGCATGGCCCAGCAGAACCCCATCCAAAGAAGGGCTTTCTGTGCAACTCCTTTTTCCGCAGGAGCTCCATTCCTGCTCCAGAGCCAGGGAGCTCAGGCAGGTGCTTTTATTTTCCTGATCTAACCAGAGATAGTTTTATGGATATGGCTTTACTGATCTTCTTTTTAAATGCATGGGTTTACTGTTATATTTTACCTTCTGTTGTTTATCACTCCAAAATCTCCCTACTGCAATATGGAGGATATAAATCTTGCAAATAAATGAATAAAATGCAGGACATAAAGAGTCCTTGCGGAGCATAAATTCATAACTGATCGATAAAGTACAAGCTTCCCTCACTGATCTCCTATTTTCATGCTAAAATGAGACTTCCCTCCTCCTTTTCACATGAATGAGGCAGGCATATGAGCAATTAATGTAGCTTTTACCTCTGTCGTGTCCAGTTTGACCATGTCGTGGAAGCTAAGCTGGGTCAGGCCTGGTCAGAATTGGGATGGGTGACTTGAGTGTATGGTTCTATGATTATTGTTGTGAACTGCCCAGAGAGCTTTGGCTATGGGCAGTATAAAAATGTTGTTGTTGTTGTTGTGAGAAGGCAATGACTTAGTAGCCTGCACATATCTTCTATGCAGCAATGCAGGGCATCCCCAGTCACAAACAGCAAGGAGCAGGAGATGGGAGAATGCCTTATTTCCATGACCCTGGAGGCCACTCTTGGCTAGAAGAGATGGTCAAAGAGACTGACCTGGTGAACTTTACATGAGTAGATGTGCAAAGAGTTGATATGTAGTTGGTATGCTGAAAGCTGCTGCACTGCACCTCACTGCTGCGTAGACATGCACAGAAGGGCACCTGGCTCCACCCAGTGCAGGAATGCAAGCCTCAGGCCTCGGGACCATTCACAGGGGAATCCCTGCCCTCAGCTTGAAACAACAGGGCTCGCCCTTTCCATGTTACAATCTCTTTTCCAAACTTTGCATAAAAGTTGTGGCACACATGTTGTGGACCCAGAGGCAGATGCCATATATATATATATATATATATATATATATATATATATATGCTTACCATATGTTCAGTATGTAGAAAGACTGGAAAGGAACTAGAGGGTTAAATGTGCTTTTGAAGATCAAGAGATGAATTTTCCAGAAGTGATCATCTCTGGATTAGGACATACACAGACAAATGCCCTAGCTGAAAATGACCCAGTTCCTATTCAAAACCTCCTTTTTAAAGGGATCCAAGCATTTTAACAGCTTTAAAATTATTTGCCCCTGAAGTGGGAAGAACACATTTACAGTTTCCAAAGTGCAAAATGTGCACCCTGATGAGAAGGAGACTTTGAGGATCTTGCTGCAAAGAGATTTAAATCTCCCAAACACCTTTTAACAGCTAAACCCCCTCGTGCCTTTGGTATTCCTTGACAGCTCACCCTCTAACAGCTGTCATGAAAAGCCAAAAGGGGATAAACGTATCTGATGCTTCTTCTGGGCAACATCCAGGGTTGGTACCTGCTGCCCATTGGACAGCTGGCCCTGGACATTGCCCCAGCTGTGGCGTCTAATCCCTGCAGTCGCACAACTGAAGTCATTTACAGTCGTGCAATTGTGGTTAGGAAAAAATAATAATAATTATGCACCTTTGTCTGTTTTTCCTCTTTTACGGCTGGGCAACTATGGTCAGGCTTTCTAAGATGCTAGTGGTGCCCTTTGAAGGGACTGCTTGTAGCTGTCAAAGCAGGGACCAGGAAAGACAGCTTTACAGCCAGCTTTCCCAATCTGCAGGACAAAAGGGTACAGAGGAAAAAAGCCACAGCTCACTTTTATGGTGAGAAGAGGGAAGCCAGTGCCAGCTGCCCCAAACTGCTGCTGGAAACTCACCCAGCAGCAGCAGGTTGAGAGTGGCAAGGGTGTTTTACCACTCTTGTGGTGGGACTTGTTAGCCAATTACCCCTATCCAGAATGGGGTTAATCATCCAGGTTGAGATAACACAACAACCCTAGAACAATCCCCAAAGCGAGTTTGTTGCTGATGCACAGGGAAATCAGTTGGCACAGCAGATTGTGTCATGTGAACCCAGTCACTGTATCTCCAGGTGCACTTGGGGATGCTGGGGACTGAACTCCAGGCCTTCTGCACAAGGCGCAGGTGCTCTAGCCCTCAGCTATGTTCCTTCCTGACTCCAGCCACTGCTCTGCAGTGACCCTCCCAGAGCCAATTTCCACATTCACAAGGCATTCCAGTCTCTATTTTACACTGGTAAAGAGGGAGGGACGATATATTACCAGCTCTGAGAAGAAAGAAAACCAAAGTCCTAACAGTTTATAGAACTGAGCAAAGTGGATGTAAACATGCCTGTTCTGAATGGTTACCATTTAAGGAGAAAAGTCCCGAGGGAGAAATGGTTTATCTTCTTTTAGAGTGTTAGGGAAGCCTGGGAAAGGATCGTCTCCAAGTAAATAAGATACCAGTTTGTCTGGTTTCTGCTGGCCTGATTCAGCAAAGGTTCTTCTTGTGAGGGTCCCATGGGCAACAGGCCACTTCATCAACTGCAGAAAAGCAGCTGAGGAGAGGAACTGCTACTGAACTGGCTTGTAATTATCTAAGTTGGCAGTTAGGGGCAAGTAAATAGTTAGCAACAGGCGAGTAATGTATGAGGCGAGGCGGGGGGGGGAGTGAGCTGCTGTGACGAGATCAGAAGAAAGAAAACTTGAGCAGCAGGGCAGAGAAGGGAAAGAGCGTAGTATAAAAGCATGAGACACACGCAAGGGGAAAGTCAGGCTGGAAGGAGAAGCGAGGCGGGCAGCCTCTCTCGCAAACGCGCACACGCCAGCCCGCGAGCGGGAAGGTAACATCGCCCCTGCCCGCGGCCGTCCGAGGAGCAGCAGAGGGCGAGCGAACCGGGGCAGGCGCCCACGAGGTGGCCGCCAGGGACCTTCGATGCTAGAGATTCGCCTTCCCTCTCGACGGACCCAGCCCGGGGACGCTGTGGGAGCTGCTGGCGGGAGAAGAGCTTCTGCCCGGGCACCTTCAGCCTCAAGAGGAAGAGGAGGAGGAGCGGGAGGCTCGAGGCAGGACGACTTTAAACAGTGCCGCCAGAATTAAGCTCGGGGTGGCGGATAAGAGGCGGCGAGGGAACGAGGCAGAGTCAGCCTTGCTCCGGGCTGAGCCGGGCTCTGCAGCCCGTGACAGCGGCTCCCCCGCCCCAGGTTCATGGGCTGAAGCAAGTCGTCCGCCGACTGCGAGAGAGACCCCGACGGCAGGCAGGACCCCTTAGGGAGACTGCTGGCGCCTTCGCGCGCAGAGCTGGGTGCGCACGCCTGGGAGGCAGCCGCAGGTGGCGGGGGACAAGCCCGGCCTCCCAAGGACGCGGAGGACGAGAGGTCGTCTGTCCTGGGGGCCAGACTTGAGTGCGGGGGAGTCCGCAAACTGGGCGCTCCCTCTCGCGGCCGGCAGGGCGGGCGCCACCCTCCTCTTGGATGCTGCCTCCTGAGGTGGGCAGAGCATCCCCGCCGCCTCTCCGCTGAGCCCCAGCCCCAGGGCTGCCCCGCCGCCGCTGCCGCCGCCGCCGCCACAGCCTACTCCCTCCTGCCGGCGAGGCGCGCTCGGGGCCCGAGGAGGACGCAGCGTTAGCGCTGGTGCGGGACAGAGAGGCCTGCGGCGGCGGCGGCGGCGGCCCCCTGGTGTGCCACTGCTGCTTCTGCAGGCGAGTTGGACCCCATGCGGGCGCCGGGCTGCAACCGCAGCAGCAGCAGCAGCGGCGGCGCCCCCTGCAGCCGGCCTCGCTCCCTGCCACGGCACCGTGTCCGCCGGGCGGGCGCCCACAGCCCGCTTTCTCCGCCGCCTCGGAAGCCTCCTCCCGCCCCGAAGTGGCTCCGCCGTGGTGGTGGCGGTGCGGCGGCGGTGGCGGCGCTGGCTGCCGCGGCTCCTCCTCCTCCTCCTCTGCCGGCCCGCTTGATCCTGAGAGCGGCGCTGGAAGCCCGGCTCTTGCTCCACTAGCGGCCGCTCCGGCGGCGGCGGCGGCGGCGGCTGCTCCGGCTCCTCCTCCTCCCCCTCCTGCCGCGGCTGCCGTTCAGTTGCCGCCGCCGCCGCGGAGCCCTAAAGCCGCCCGCTGCAAGAGGATGGTGCGCCTGGCAGCCGAGCTGCTGCTGCTGCTGGGACTCCTCCTGCTTACCTTGCACATCACGGTGCTGCGGAGCAGCGAGCCCAACGCCGCGGCCGGCAACCACAGCCAGCGCCCGCAGCAGGTGAGTACGCCGCCGCCAGCGGGAGACCGCGAGGTTTGAAAAGAGGAGAGGGGTTGTAGTGACGCCCGGGCAGAACAAAAAGCCCTCGCCGCCTCCTGGAAACGGGGGTGTTGAGGGCCACAGCAGCCCGGGGCGGGGGGACCCTCTTATTAACCCCTCAATTCCTTGTGTGTCCCCCTTGCACCCTTCCTTTTATCATTGCTGTCTTGCGCGGAAATCCACATTGGCCGTCCAATGATGCTTCCAAACGGTGCTCCTCGAGGGCAGGGCTGATGCCTGGGTATAGGGGAAAGGACTGGAAATGTTTCCAGCCACCAGTGAAGTCTTCGCATCCCAGCTTTTCCCTTGGTCGCTTCCACCTTTTTTCTTAAGAAAAGAAGGGAGTGTTAAGGAAGACGCAATCTCTTGACTGTTAATGGTGGGGACCCTTCATCTGGAGGTCCCCTCTGTCATACCTTCTAGGGAATGAAAGAAGATGCCTTATACCAGGCCCATTTAGCCCAGTGTTGTCTACTCTGGCTGGCAGCCCCTTGTTTCAGGCACAGGGTGCTGGCTTCTCAACTGCTACCAGTGCCTCTGTGCAGATGCCAGAGTCTGAGCCTCAGATGTTCTGAATGCAAAGCATGGGCTGAGGTCGCCCTCCCTGTGCCCAAGGCACCCATTCTCCATCCTGAAAAGAATGTGTGGCAGCCAGTGTGCAGCCTCAGACACCTCCACTGAACTCTCAAGTGTGTGCATTTAGTCCCCTCTGCGTGTTCACTGCGCAGGCAGAGAAAAAGAGCCGGGTGTTGCCTGCAGCCCTCGCTCCTGACCTACCCATAAAAGTGTGGATACAGAGCCCTCTTTGTATAGCCAGGCGTTGTACTTGTGATTGAGACCTTGTCCTTCTGATCCTAAGAGTTTACCCACCCACAGCTTGTACACAGTAAGCGGCTTTCAGAACTTCAGTTTAGCGTTGCCCTTCTAGTGCCAGGTACCGTGGTTTCTGCCCAAAACGGCACCCCTACAGGTCTCCCTTGCTAGGGCCATCACTCCTAATAGCCGTGTTGCCACTAGTCTCTGCCTTTCTTTATTGCCTGCCAGTTTGGTGCTTCTTGAAGCAAATCGTTTTCTGCTGCTGCTTGACCGTGCGCCAGTGCTTCTCCCCCTTCACATGCATTTGATCAATGGGTGCAAATGTCTCCTGATTTTAATATCGACACATACACCCCTTGCCCAACCCTTTTGAGTGCTTGTTTTGGGGTAAGCAAATATAATTTGACCTATTGTGTGAGTGTGTTGCCTTTATTGGCATGGTGGTCACTGTTGAAGCACCAGTGTTGCTCCTGACCATCCCGCAGCCACACCCCCACGGAGAGTCCAGAAATCCCGGCAGCTGCATCCATCCACAGCAACAACCCAGCTCTGGCAGCTTTCTTTTCCACCCAGGGGCAAATGAACTTTTGTAAAATCGATGAAGCTTCATTGCTCATTCAGGATCAAGCCAGTGCCATATACTTTGCATTATAGTAAGGAGCAGTATATTGTTTGCGGGGGAAATCTCCCCTCCATGCCCCCAGCTACCATGAAGATTGCAGCTAAGCTCAGAGGGATCGTCCGGGGGGCGGGTGGCATGGTTGCCCCTACTAAGCAAAAGTGTCCCTGTGAGCCCATTGAATGACAGGAGGTGGGCATTACTTGTATGAAGGATAGGTGTAGCAAACCTATTGTGCAGGAAATTTTCTAGTCTCTTTATAATTACTACACATCTTTTCAGCCAGGAATGGTACTGCCCTAATCCTTTCCTTCACCCTTCCTGAACAGGGTGCCCTTAACCGTTTGGGACTTCAGTGTTTCTCATGCTGGACTGGGCTTGATGGGAGCTGAATTTGGAGTCCAGAAAGTCCCAGTCTTCCTAACCTATTCAGTGGGTTTCCCGCCAACAAGGATCACAGCTGCACATGACCTTTTAAAATCCAGCCTCAAAAAGTGTGCGGAGTATTCCATGCCCATTCACTAATAATACATGTGGGTACGGGACAGCGAGTATGTGTAACATTTTTCTTTCTAGGCCACAATGCTTGCTTTTCCCTCAAAACCAATACATGTTCTAAGTTTTTCATTCTGGATAGGTGAGAGTGAGTTTGTGCAGATGCAATGCAAGAAACACATTTCTGCTGCACAAGGGCACCTTCAGTGAAGCACCAAATGCTAACAGTATTCTGGGAGGATGTCAGCTGAATCCTATCCTATGAAGAGACAAAAAAAGAAATAATATAGGGGTTTAGCAGCAAAGAGCTGTCTTCATTCCTTTCATGTGCTCTTAATATCATTTTCGCTGCTTAGCAATTTATTGTAAGCCGTCCTGAGCTGTTCTGTAGGGGATGGGATAGAAAAGCAATAAGTAAGTAAATAAATAAATAGCATTGAAATGAGTATTCATAATCTGGTCTCCAATTTGCATAGCTAGTTTCAATAATGGAAAAAATATTCTCATATTACGATGATGTGTCCATTTGAGAGAAAAAGAGTATTGAGGCTTCAGACTGGTATGTGGCCAGCTTTTTGTAATGGTAGCTGTGGAATTAACCGAGATGTCCGTGCCAGAGTTCTGCTCTGGTATGAGCCAAAAAGTAGATTAGGTACCCCCAAACGTCCTTTGTGACAGAACATAAGCCCTTTCTACTTGTTCGGCATCATGGCTAATGAGCACATGTGGGGATAACCAGGCTGCTCGCCTGTTCGACACATTCATTAGCACATCTGTGGAGAGCCCAGGTACATACAGCTGGGCGTGCATCAATCACCCTTATGCGCATTAATCACCCACAGATATCAAATGTCTGAAAAAGGTTATGGAGTTCACCGTTCATATCAAAACATTCACTATTCAGGACCAACATAAAGAAATGCTGCTCTCAGGTTTTCTGTACCTCAGGTTGCTTCTGTGGCTAAAAATGCCTCTGGTCTCAGTAATGGCCTTTGAATTATCAAGGAGTGGGGCCAATATCTTTACCGCCAGCCTCTCTAGCTATTACTTCCCCACAAAGTTCAACCAGTACTCACTCTCCAGGTGAAATCTTTTAAGCTGCTGCAATTCTCTACATGCTTACTTGAGAGCAAGAGGCTAGTGAGATTTGCTTTCAAAGGTTTGGCTGTTAGACGGGTGGCATAAAACCAGTAACAGGTGTCTTCTGTTTTCAAGAAATGGTGTGTGCATAGGAGCATTTGCTGTCACTTCCAAATAATGTGTGAGAAAGAAAGATGCTGGACTTGTTAGAGATCCTAGTAGGTCCTGGGAAGATGTGCCAACTGCACAGCTGCCTTGCAGGGCAAACACTCTGCAGCACTTTCCCTGCAAACTCTAAACTAGTGAGGAGCGGCCCAAAATCTGCAGGTTTACCTGAGAAGGGGGTTACTATCCCCTAAACTCATTTGCCATTAGGGAGCACACTCCCCTGCCCCCCCTGCAATTTCCCTGGGGTAAAGCATGTAGCAGAGGTTTTTCAGCAGTTGAAATTCTGTAGTTAGAGCTCAGGTTCCAGTTAAAACCATGTTTTACTGTTGCTTCTTATTGTGAGTTTCAAAAATCAAAACAAAAGCAAAAGAAACAGAAATAGAATAAAGATGCTTTGTTAAGGTGAAGGCTGACTGGGGAAATTGGGCAGGCCTGAAAAGAAAGGCAACCACTCCCTAAGCAGCCTTACTGACGCTTTCAGAACTTGCTTGCCTGAAACACAGTGGTCTGAGAAGGCAAACGGTAGCTCGTGTTGCTGGCAACATCCCCGTCTTGATCTCAGTTTTTCCCAGCTTGAGCACATCTGGGTGCCTTTACTTACAACTTCCATCATCCCTGCCCATTGACTGTGCTGGCCACAGATGGTGGGAGTTGTTTGACACACCGGCAAGGATCCAGGTTACAGAAGGTTGTTCTGTCACTTGTAGGCTCTGGGGCTGGCAGAGGGAATCCACCATTCAGGTGTGGCAACCCATAGAAACAGAGCGAGTCAGAAGGGGCCTCCCGGGCCATCTGCCCATCACGTGTGACAGCCCAGCACACAGGCAGGGGAACTTGTGGAAATGAGCTGTCGACACTTCCAAAAAAAACCCTGAACAGGTGGACTTAAGAGGTGTGAAAGCCAAAATGTCCTTTCCTCTCTTGGCTCTTCTCACAGAAGAGCCCCCCCCCCCCTGCCCCCACCACCGTGTGCATTAAATGCCGGCTTGTAGCTCAACAGTCGGCTCTGCCCCAAGAACCATATCCTTCCTCCTCCTCTCCTCCCCACACCCGTTCCCTCAAGCATCTCCTGATTTTACTCAGTAGGCCTAATGACAGGGCCTCCTTCTTTCCCCCACACTGCTCTCTCCATGAAAGCTTCTTTGGGCACCTGGACGGAATGGCTTCTGTGAGTGTTAAACAAACCCTACACAACCCTAAAACAGCCCACAGGCCACACAGAGGTTATTTAACACCAAAAAACCCCACGCTCTCCATGATGCAATAGATTACATGATGCAATAGATTTGAGCAGACGCAAATTCAAGGTGGTGGCCACAGGCACAACAGTGATATTGTAGGTTTAATGACCCATGGTGAGGAGTTGTGTGCCTCATGTCTATAATCTATAACAATCCCTGGACAGATCTTTGTAGGTGCAAGTGCACACTGTTCCCCTGCATCTGTCCCGTTCCTTAATTCATTTTCACAGATATTTGTCCAGTCCCTTGTTTAAAATGACTGCATAATTCCTGCTTCTGGCAAGTTCTTGACGTGAGGATGGCCTCCCTGCTGCCTCCCACGTGTGCACATGAGCACTTGTTAGTCTAAGTCAGCATGGCTGCGCCTTGGAATGAGGACACAGCATGTTCAAATGCAAGGTGAGGTGAGAACAGCTTGCTTGAGTGCAATAGGTTGAGATAACCGAACATTATAGAAAGGTGTACCAGAAACCTCCTTTGCACAGCTCTAAAACATGAAGCCCAATACGGGATGTTGTTCTGCATGGAAAGGCATGGAATGG